GACAAACATGGAAACAGAAGAGCAACATCTTCAGGAACGCCTCCTCAGTAGAAGGTCTGCGTGCAGGAAGACTGCAGTGGGCATGCATCGTGTTTGTCCATGTGCTGTTTTTTTATCAGACTGCGGCAGTATAATAAGCGCAAACATGGAAGCTCTAACTGTGCTGCTTTCATTGTTTCTTTAAAGCAACTTCCCCACTCTGCAGTGTGTGTGTGTGTGTGTGTGTCTTTAGAGCTCACTGCGTGCGTCTCATCTTAGATACTTGCACATATTTGTATTTATGTGTGAATTTCTTTTTGTGCTTATGTGGTTAGTTCGTCTTTGCCTATACTTGTGTGTATTGCTTAGGTAAATGCGTGTGTGTGTGTGTGTGTGTGTTCTCTAACCAGCCTGCGAGCCTGCGTGTGAACTTATTGTTATGCTGCATCAGCCCTTGCTGCACTGAGACCCATTTCTCACACAAACTCCTTACATGACCGACATGTTACCCCATAAAAAAACACACTCTCTCACCCCTCTCTGTCTTCCTGAACCTGGCTCTGTGCGTCTTGTTTTTTTCCTCTCTCGGCCTCACCCGTTTGCTCCGCGCCGCCTATCATTTCTCTTCTTCATTGACATTCGCCCTTCTCGTTCCCTCTCTGCCCAAGTTTAGCTTTTGATATGAGGGTTATAAATAGCTCTTTAAAGACACCTCACAGGGCTGTTCTAACAGTCCAGTGCCACCTTTTGAATTTTAAAATCTTGACTTAAAGTAACTCAGAAACATCACAGAAAAGTCTCGCGTTTCAAAGCATAAAAATACAGTTTGCACTTTAAGATGATGTTAATGATTTTGAGCAGTGTGCATTGCAGTGTATAATGCTACACTGCTTACTGTAGCATTATGCACAGAGATGAGTGGGTGGTTTAATGTGTAGTCTGAAGATAATTATTGGTGAATATGCAGTTCGTGCTTGATGAAAATATAATATTTTAGTATTAATAATGGTGCTGAAACATGAGCTAGAAATGCCTCATCTATAGTAGCTACCTGGAGACATTGTCACACAGTGGAGGGGGGAGATGTTGCCCTTAAATACATAGATGCAGTTTACTTCAAATGTGTTCGAACTACTGGAAGCACTCTGTTTGGTTTAGGGAAATGGTGGAAGCTTCAGAGGGTGTTTTGCTGCTGCCGAACAGAAAAGAATGTCTTTTGCAGTGAAGTGAAATGGAGTGTTGAAAACAATCGTCTGTGCATTCTTTTTTGATTGCTGGAAATCTCCACTCCCATTTCCTTACTTGTTCAAGCTACCCGCTTCAAGTATTCTGTAATCAAACTGTGCATAGCATCCCTGTGTTGAGGTGACACACTGTAGGCTTTGCACACAAGCGCGTTACTGTAGTCCCTGCATTGGGTGAATACTAGGGGTGCAACGATACTCGTATCGATATTGAACCGTTCGATACAGTGCTTTCGGTTCGGTACGCATATGTATCGAACAATACAACATTTTTAATTTATTTTATCA